GAGAGTGAGAAAAAGAGAGAGAGAGAAATAGAGAGAGCGCGAGAGACAGGGATATATATGCATATTGACTATATTTGCTAACTGACATATTTTCCTGAATGCATACAAGACGTGATGATGGGAACATATCTTTACCATTTTGATGCTATGTTGTTGTGTTTGTGGATGTTTAATTGGCCACATTGCATTTCAGGGGTAAAAACAATAGACATCCTCTCCGACCTTTCACACGAAGATTTTAAAGCAACTGGCGAGAGCCATTTCTATCGACTAAAACAATCCAAAAGCAACTGGCTCCTATACAGGCATTGTGGGCATGGCCTCAAGAGCCGTCTGCTAGAAATACCACCAGGCACAGAAGGCTACACGCCTACACTACTACATCACACACACAGCATCAGAGCAAATACATACATATACATAGCACCACTAACAAACCTTTCAACACAGCCATTGTCTGCCGAGGTACGTTTGTAAGCTCAATTCTACCACCTTTCATGGAATTTGTAGTTTTTTTGAGAGGCTCGTGCGTACATTTCAAGTTTACTTTGCTATATCGCCCTATGGACAGGGATATATATGATTATCAGGTTCAGCGAAATGTCCAAACAGCCACATGAGAAAGATATGTGATTGATAGAATGAGTAGTTGTATATGAAACAATGATTTTTATCATGATTACTAGTTATAAGAGTAGCAATTTGTATGCATACTTGCATATATATATATATATATATATATATGGGTGACGGGTCTTCATAGAGCTAAATAATCAGAGGGTTCTTCTAATCTGGCTACCAACTTGTATTGTACTAAATTATTTGTGAACATAGATGCTTCTTGTAGACAAGTGTTGACTTAGGGGCCTATGCAACTTATATATCTAACAGGAACTCCTGCAGTGTGAGGCATGCACAGAGAAGTGTGCACTGTGTGCACTTGATGTGTCGGTGGTACATATGACGGAGCGCTATGATGCCATGCATTCGAAAGGCCAAGAAACGCTACGGTAAGAATAATGTCTTGCGTAATCACAGACAGTGAACCTCAAATGTACCCTTTCAGGACAGATACGATACAAAATAAAATTTATCAATGAAGTGAACGTGAAACTGCACGTAAAGCTAGGGTACGTACTGCGTTGTATCCAAATATGGTATCATTAGATGGTATAGTGTAGTGTATAATATGGACCATTTGATTACACTCTAGTTAACAGTCATGTGTAAGTTTTTCTAAGTCATTACATTGTTTCCAGATGACAGTAGATACAAAGAACTTGTGTTTATTGCAAAGCAGGAAATTTCCGTAGTGGTAATTGTCTATGTGTGTCACGAAATGCTGAAAATAGAAAATCATGTAAACTTGCAGCGTAGGGGAAGGAAGAGAGATATATCACCTGATGCTGATGACAGCTCAGAAGAAGACCTGGTAAGTAGAAACATAATCCTAAGGACTTCAATCACTATATTATATAAAATACATGCCGTTCTTGCTAACAGAGTTAACTAAACTTTTTTTTTTTGAAAGCAAGTGGACATTTAACTGACAAGATAATAGGTCACCCGTGTGTCCAAAATTCATTTCAGGTGTTCATGCAAGTTCTGGCCGTATATTAACTCTTTTTCTTTCAGCTAAGCTAAAGGAATAACTTCGTTATTTATGTTGACATGGGTAGTTCCTGTACTAATACAAAATGCTTTCAGTCAAAGATATACGATTTTAAAAGATGCAAAGGAGATGCGAGTGGCCGAGAAACTCCGCAACCAAGTACAAGCGAAGTGCGTGCTCACTCACCAATGTCCATGCCAGATCTGGTAAGAAGATTCGTTATTTACAATATAGTATTCTGTGTTATTATGTGAACTAACTACACATTTACCTTATTGCCACGTAAAGAGTATTTCATTTTCTGCCAACGTATTACCGACAGAAATGGAGAATTATTCGCCGTTTTGTAGAACTACAAGTTCCCTTGAGGTCGTATGCATTCTCGTAGGCTCATATACATATGGATGTATATGTTTATCAAGAGTGAATACAAACAACGTTTCAGTCTTGATAAATAAAATTCTAATGTTCACTAACTACGACTTACATATGGTTTGACTAAATTGACAAACCGTACGCCATATGCGTGACCTATATACGCATCCGGCCATGCACCTGCGCAGGTAGAAATCTCACCAGCGCGCTGAGCACTAGAGCCTACATTCTACGAGCGCCCGTGTCTGTTGCAAAAGTGTGAATATTCAGATATCAGAGATAATTATCTTGCTTTAGCAGCTTGTGAGACAGTGATGCTGAGAGGGTCTATGTCCCCCAGGGTACTGCCGGAACGTACCCTGGGTGCCGGTACCGCTGGTAACTAATCTGATATGCGTTTAGGGTTTGGGCTAGGGCTAGGGTTTATGGTTAGGGTTAGGGTTAGGGTTAGGGAGTAGGCGTAGGGCGACTCCCTAGACTCGTTAGTGAGGTAGGCGAGGTACGGTCCGGCATATTAGATAGTACCAGGGTACGTTCCGGCAGTACCCTGGGGGACATAGACCCTCTCAGCGACAGTGATGAGCACTAGTTACCACCTTACGAACAGGTATACAGATATAGATATTAAACACCGCCAGGTCTAGATTACAGAAATAAAATTAATACGTGTTTGCGATATTCAATAGGAAAACCCCGAGAGATAGATGGAGCGACACATAGATAGATAGATAGAGAGAGAAAGAGAGAGAGAAAGAAAGAAAACGTGGTAGTGAAAACGAGTAGATAGAAGCGGGAAAGAGAGGGTCAGGTCCAGGGAGAGGGACAGGGATAGGGAATGGAAGAAGTAGAGGAGAAGGTAGAGAGAGAGAGAGAAAAAGTGACGGAGGCAAGGAGTGAAAGAGGAAATGGAAGAGGGGGAGGGAGTGGAAGAGGGAGAGGAAATTCTTCACTTTCGGAAAGAATCAGCGAAATGGAGCGGGAGTAAGAGAGGGGNGACAGAGAGAGAGAGAGAGAGAGAGAGAGGGGGGGTGACGAGGTAGCTGGGCTGCATAGTGTGAGAGAAACACAGATATAAAGAAAGCAATGGCATATCAAACGGCTGTTACAAGAACGCAAGAAAGAATAAACGCAATATGACTATTATATACTCCTATTCATATTACGTTGCATTAATAATTTACGATTAACAAGTAAGAGAGGGGTGAACAGAGAAAGAGAGAGGGGGCGGGACAGAGATAGACGGAGAGAGAGAGAGAGAGAGAGAGAGAGAGAGAGAGAGGGAAGAGAGAGACAGAGAGAAAGAGAGAGAGAGAGAGAGAGAGAGANGTTTTGTGGGGAAGTTGAATGAAATTTCAAACGAAAATATGTTTACCTCGGAAGATTTAGAGATTTCTATTAGATTTTGACTGATAAAAATGTATTTGTACTTGAAATAAGGCATACATTTATATGAGCGCCGGACCTCGAAAAAGGGCCTGCCTCGAAAAAGGGCCGGGGCAATGAGACAGTTTAAAACAATAAGGGCCTGGGCGCTCGTTCGAGGAAATACGGTACTACTGCAATATTTGTATTAAAAATATATTGCTTTTTCAGAGATTAGATACTGATGATCTGCTGAATTTATTTGATAACCATACATCTTTATTAAAATTACTTTAACTACCATCACCTATCTTTCTCTGCCTCAAGAGATGATGAATTTGATCCAGACCAGTATCTAATACAAGGAACACGCATGTATTATGAGCATGATAAAATCAATGACCTCATAAAGTCTAAAAACACTAACTACCTTCTTATAATACATACCAATACTTGCAGTTTACAGAAAAATCTTCACAAAATTGATGGACTGACTGAGATTGTGACTTCAGTGGCACGCCCCTGAATAGAATTAGACGATCAGCCTGCATGACATCATCACAGGCCTACCATGTATAACTTATTTTGATAATTTGATTTTCCTTGAGTTTTATTTTCATTGCTTTCATTTTTCTTTCATTTTAGAGAGCCCTTCCGCCTGATTACGAATATCATGTGTGCAACTTTAAAGCACTGGAAAATGTAAATGGATTTCATGCATAATTCCGGGTCAATATTGGAGATGCCGATGGAGACCAAAAATGGTTGAAGGAGTACACAGAAATAAGCAAGGTTACATTCCAAATACTGGCAACAAAGCCTGTTAAGGTTCCGAAGACTAATCTCTGGAAGACGTTCTGTCACTGCCAACATAACACACTGCCTCGGACATCAACAGCTGACTTGAAAAGTGGATGCAAGAACACAGTGTACTGCACAAATAGACATAACAGTAAAGATGTTGCCAGGGAAGCATTGCAGGTAAGTTGCGTACAGTACAAATGTTCATCCTGAAGGAGTGCCAAAGGAGATATCAATAATAACATAGACATACATCTAAAGTAGTATACCGTATTGAACAATGCATGTGCGGCAACACATTTTTTCGCAGAGTTTTGGAGGGGTATATAGTGAAAATATTTGGTTATTATAGGTGATCTCTCTTGCTGGACACTAAGGTACATAGGTAATATTAATAAACTTATTCCTAAAAAACGACTTGTTTGGAAAATTTGGCAGTCAAGATTCGGGACTTTTGCATTGTTGCGCATCTGCTTTGCGTTTTCTCTTGATACATTGATTTGCAATCTTGATCAATGATCTTCTGGATACCTGTCAGAAGGAGCTCAGCAGTTAATATATGGTTATATCATATGGCTTTTGGCTGAGTAAAAGGTGTAAGGTTTAAATACCAGTGCCACCTTACTCACTATTGCTTTTCCATTGAGCAAGGTACTTTATCCATATTTGCATAGAGTGGGAGGAGTTATTCAGGGATATCACAGCTATATATTAAATAAAGTACAGAAAATCATCCTGCATGTATATAAGTATATATACATAATTAACTATTATTAATTATACAGGTTTGCAGGCACAGGGAAATCAACCTCCAAACGCCGAACAAAATTATCATGCACACAAATGCATTTTAAGCTTTGCTGCTTAGCAACTAATGAGGAATTTAGTCCAGACAAGGAAGAGGAATGTCTTCTTGCCAAAGCTGGTTTGGGTAAATATACATGAAATGTGTTTTGAAATGTAATACCTGGTAGCTATAGGAAGAGATGTCCATGAGTTATACCTATAGGCATTTGTAAACAGATGCTATTGACTGTAGGCCTACATTATTTTTCATTTGTTTTGGGCTATGATGGGAATTCGAGTATCTGTGGATTCCTATTCGTATATATCTGCCATTTCTCCACTTGCAACGTGCATGATTACAGTTACCGCGGTTTTGCCACAGATTACTGTAGGCCCACACACCATATTTTTTGCATACAGGTATTTTCGCAAATTCAGACTTGATGGACAATTTCGCGAATGGTTAATTTTGCGGTCGGTGAATTATGAATTATTCGATAATATTCAGTATTAATTATTCGCGTGTCAGTATGTTCGCTGTCGGGGACGTGTTCACGAAATTTGCGAAAATTAAACCATCGTGGAATATACAGTGTATGCAGTAGATCAGACTTAAATTAATAACACTCTTCCATGTCATTTCTAGCATATTTTTCTAACAAATCACTGTAGAAACGTAACAAAACAAGGAAATAACTAACTACAAGCTAACTGAACGTTAGCTTTGAAAATGAAACTGTAAAAATATCCATCAAGCCTATTTGCTCAACGAAAATAACACTCAAAAATCGTTTTTTTAACTGTGCATGGTTTTGAATAATGATGGCAAGAGCGTATATCAACACGTGTCGCATGCTAGGAACAGCCTTCATTACGCTCAGCACCGCAGAGTGGCAAAAGTAAACGCTGTTTGAAATATTACACCTGAACATTTCCCGTTGCTTACAAGCTTTGAATGGATATTATATGTATACTAGCTATACCCGTCCAACCCCGTTAGGTGGTCAAAACTAAAAATAAAAAAATAAATAAAAAAATAAAAAATATTAACACATATAAGATCCGATAG